TTACTCGGCAGGACACGGAGCAGGGGGCCGGGGGGCAAAGCAGCACAGCCCCGGGGGGCTGCAGCGGCATCCGGGGGGCCGGGATAGCGCTGGGGGGATGTGATGGGTCCTGTAGGATCTGTGGGTGCTGGTCCCTGAATCCCGGCGGTGCAGGGACCCCCATGCCTTGGCGCTGCAGGGGAGAGGAGCAGAGGTGTCAAGTGGGGTCTGGGGGGCTGTGCTGGCTCCCCCCAACTCCAACCATCAGCCGGGGGCCCTTTCTCCTCAGCAAGCTATGGCTATGGCAGCCCCCCCCCCCAGTTCAAGTAAATCAAGGCTCTTTAAAGGTTAACCCCATCTCTCTGCTGATGGGGCTGAGGAGAGGGTGTCCCCTCGGGATCCCCATGGACAAGTCCCCATCCAGACCCGTACCCCACGGCACCGAGCACCGCGGCGGCCAGCACGGCCCCCAGGCTGGCGAGGATGGAGGTGATGACCACCACGGCGCTGCTGCGGTGCAGGGGCACGGGGTCGATGGTGCTCAGGCTGCTGGCTGGAAAGAGATGGGATGAGGGGTAACAGGGATGGTGCGATGGGAAGGGGAGGGACAAGCTTTGGGATGATGGCATAGGGCTGATGCTGTGGGGCAGCAGTGCCACTGGTACCTCTGCGAAGGAGGATGGGCTCAGACCACCTTGTCTCTGCTCTGGGGCCCTGGCAGCCCATCACCAGGAACTTCACCCTGTGGGATGGGAGCGGTGGTGACACCAGGGGTGGGATGTGCACATAGAATCATGGAATCACAGGATGGTTTGGGGTGGAAGAGACCTTAAGTTCATCCAGTTCCAACCCCCTGAATCCAGTCTGGAATTACCCGGGGTGGGATTTAGGGGTCCCATCCTGCCAGCCTCACCTGTATGGCCCGGGGGAGGGCAGGGGCCCATTGCAGGGCTCCTGTCCCTCGCATGCTGTGTCCCCCCCAACGCGCAGTGGGGCCGGGCTCGGTGCTGAGCAGGCGAAGGCATGGACTGGGGTCTCCAGCGTCATGTAGGAGTGCGCCGTGGGCAGCCGCTCGTACAGGGGCACGTCAGCACGGGACGGGGGGTTCCTGAAGGCGCCCGAGGCTGCGCAACACCCATGGGGGTGAGGGTCCCCGTATCCCCATGGGGAGGGAGCGCGTGCTGGTGCAGCGGGACTCACCGTTGGCGAACGCCACCACCAGCCACACGGCATCGGGAGCGTTGGCCTCGTGGTCGAAGATGCAGCAGGGTCTCTCCAGAGCGAAGGTGGTGGCCGTGAGCTTCCCCGGCAGGGCCGCGGTGGGTACGTGGGGCACGTAGGGCAGCAGGGCTGCGGGAGCGGGCACTGAGCAAGTGCTGACCCCATCCTGCATCCTCATGAGCATCCCCAGCCGTGCCCAGCCCATAACCCCCTCCCCGGCACACAGACCCATAGGGAACCCTTGAAGCCCTCCGAGCCCCTGTCCCCAAAGCAGTCACCCAGGCCCGTGGCTGTGCCCGTCCCAGCCAGCACCAGCAGCAGCAGCAGCAGCTCCATGGCGTGGTCCCGGCTCTGCTCACTGTGTCCCGGTGTGGAGGGGATGAGCTGCCCCTGGAGCTGGGCCCTCCCAGCGCAGCAGCATTCCTGCACCAGCTCTGCCGGCCCCACCGGACCCCGCGGCAAAGGGGAAACGGTTGCACCACCCGGGTCACCGGGGACCAAACCCCTCCGGAGCCATCCCGATGGACACCGGAGCCGAGGCACCAGGGAGCACTGTGAGGATGGGGGGCAGAGGCAACGATGTGAGATCCTGCCTGCATTGTGTGCAGTTCTGGTGCTTCCAGCATAAGGACATGGAGCTGATGGAGCAAGTCCAGAGGAGGATGCTCAGGGGCTGGAGCAGCTCTCATACGGAGCCAGGCTGAGAACACTGGGGCTAGAGAAGAGAAGCTGATGAAGACCTGAGAGCAGCTTCCAGTGTCTGAAGGGGCCTACAAGGATGCTGGGGAAGGATCTTCATCAGGGACTGTAGTGATAGGACAAGGGGTGACGGGTTCAAACTGGAACAGGGGAAGTTTAGGTTGGAGATAAGGAGCAAGTGCCTCCCTGTGAGGGTGCTGAGGCCCTGGCACAGGGTGCCCAGAGAAGTGGTGAATGCTCCATCCCTGGCAGTGTTCAAGGCCAGGTTGGGCAGAGCCTTGGGTGCCATGGTTTAGGGTGAGGTGTCCATGCCCATGGCAGGGGTTGGAACTGGATGAGCTTGAAGCTCCTTTCCAACCCAACCCATTCTGTGATTCTATTTCAAAGAGAAACAGAGGTAGGAAGGAGGCACCGGAGCCGTGTTCAAGGATGGTTGTGGCCATAGATGCAGCCGTAGCAGTCGCCCTGCTCCCACACCGAGCCCTGGCACCCTGTGCATGCCTCCTGCCCATTGAGCGTGAGGGATGTGCCTGCTGGCTCCGGGTGCAGGCAGCCTTGGCCAAGGGCAAGGGAGTGCTCGGGAGCCATCACACCCTGAGCTCACCCAACCCACCCATGTGCAGGGCTGAGCTGTCCCACCCCGTGCCAGGGGCACCCCACACTGACACTGCCCCTTCCATCCAGTGCTGGGGAAGAGCACCTTGATCCCCTGGGACAGGACCCGTGACCCTACAACGGGGCTGGCCCAGAGCCCTCCCCATTCTCCCCCCACTTGCTCCCACTGCAGAGGGTGTAAGTGCTCCTTCTCTGGTGTTTGCCAAGGGCAGTGGCTGTGTGGGAAGGGATTCCCCCCCCCTTCCCAAAGGGGCTGGGACAAAGCCTTCGGATTAAGTGGAAATGGGGCATCCAAAGATTACAGCATCCAGCTGCAGCCCTCATCCCTCCTCCCTCTTCCAATCCCTGCCTCATTCCCCATCTTCCTGCCTCAAGGTCCCCTCTGGCAGCAGATGCCCATGGGGATGTGCCAGCCCCAATCTGCCCCCTTGGTCCCCCCTGTTGCTCTCCGGGTGTGACGCAGGGGGACCGTGAGTCACAGTTTCAGTGCTGGTACCAGCATTCCTGTGGGGTCAAGGCTTGGCTCACACCCAGCACAGTCAGACTTGTCTGGTAGCATTAGAAGCACTTGATTCAGGCTCTGTCCCCTCCAGCTCCAAGGCACGGGGGCCCTGCAGTCTTCTTCTACCAGATGCTGCCCCAGGGTACAGCAGGGACCAGCTCTGAAGCATCTCCCCACCGTGGTCCCTGGGCTCTGCTGCTTTCCACCCCTTCACCACTTGTACCCCCTCATCAGAGGGTCTAAGAGCACCCTGGACATGGGAAGGGCTTTAGGAGATGCCTCGCTCCTATCGTGACAGCAGCAGAGCCCGACCAGCCCAGCGGCAGGGAGGCTCCAGCTGATTCACACGGCAGCACCTGCAGGAGCTGCCCTGGGCACAGGGAGCAGGAAATTCTGGCTCTGTGCAGGGCTGAGCAAGCTCTGCTCCGTTTCCACTGCAGTTTGGAGCTGAGGGTGGAAAAAAAGCTGAAGTCTGCACTCGAAACCTCTCCCTTCCGCAATCAGGGCAGGAGAGGAGCAGGCAGAGCCCATTGGGGCAGAGAGCAGGAGCACGCAGGCACCCACCTGCTGCTCCAGAAGCTTCCGTCCTTGCAGCATCCCTGAACTGCACCAGAGGGCTAAGGGTTTTCTCCCTAAAGCCTTTGACAGAGGGGAAGCAGGAGACTGCAAGTACAAGATGAACAACAGGGTCAGACCCAGCCCCTGACAGCTCCAAACCCCCCTTGGTTTTGTATTGGCATGACCAGGACATGCTGGTTGCAGGAGGACAAGACAGAGCTACCATGAAGCACCACCACATCCCTGCTCTCCCATGAAGCGGGCAAGATGGCAAATGCACCAAGGCCTCTGATGTGCCAAAGGGATTTGATGTGGGGCTGGTGGCCAGAAACAGCTCTTAGATATGCTCCAGCTACCAGGTGACAGCACGCAGCAAAGCCACCAGGACTGAGGCAACATCCCCTTTGGAATAGCCAGAGCTGATGGTGCAGGAGCATGCTCCTGCTGGAAAGCATCCCTGCCATCCCTCTTTCATCCCTGCCACGGCAGCAGAGGAAGGGGGCCGTCACCACATGGTGGCACCAGCAGTCCCTGCAGCACACAAAGCACAGCAGCCTCCTCCCTGCATCCAAACCCTGCCCCAGCAGGGCTGAGCCTTCCCCCCTTTCCCCTGGCTGGACTGAGTGTCCCCGGATCCAGGGAGCAGCCTGGTCCCCTAGAGAGCCACCAAGAGGGGAGGCAGCCCAAGCCCCCAGGTAGCTTGAAGGGAAAGCAAGGACTGGCTGTGGAAATGAAGTGTTTTATTACAACCAAGCTGGCACAGGGGCAGGAGGCTTCACCCTCAGAGGTGCCCCACAGACAGGGAGCTGCTGTGAGCAAGGGAGGCCATTATTTGCTTTCCAGGTGGTTTAACGGGAGCAAGATGCTCCCCTATCCCCACCCTGGCCCCAGCCAGCACCAGGGTGAGCTCCTGCCTTCACAAGGGGCTCCATCACCTCATGCCCATTGCCCCAGCCCATCCTGGCTGTCCCCATCCACCCCACACAGAGACACAAGTGCAGTTTCTACAAAAATACCCTTCCCTCAGCCCAAAAGGAGACCGCAGGAGCCGGCAGAGCTCCTGCAGTGCAGTTATTGCTCAGTGGGACGGGCAGGAACTTAAGGCAACAGGAATAAGTGCACGAGGTGGCACAGCCAGGTCGTGTCCCCCCCCCAGTTCATTGTCTCAGGCAGTCCTCAGTGACACCTTGTGCAGCCAGCTCTGCCAGCACGTTGTCCAGGTAGTTGGGGTCTGGGTAGCCGTGGCCACTGAGGTTTGTGTCCATCTCAGTCTTGTGGTGGATCTCGTTCCATACCACGGTGTTGCTCTCGCCCGTGGTGCTGGAGGTGCCCACTGTGAAAATGAGGCGGCGCTTCCAGGCCACCCTCAGGAGCTCCAGGACCTAGAGGTGGGAAGGGAGAAGCCAAAGCTTCAGCGGGTGGGAGACTTGAGCCATGCGAGCAGCTTGCCGTTAGCTTGGCAACCTAAATCCCTGCTTCAGGAGGAAAGCAAAGATCCCGGCATCAGAAGGGATCTCCTTCACCTCCCAGTCACCCCTGTGGTGTCCCAGTGGAAAGGACCATTCCCTACACGTGCTGGTCTTCCAGGAGTTCACTGGCACAAGGTGGGACAAACCCCACCACCCAGAGGACATGGGGATGGGAAGAGCCATACAGTGCAAACCCTTCTAACTGCACATCCCAAGAGAGGCCAGGAGTGTCTTCCCAAAGGACCAGATGGGATTTTGTTTAGTAAAGGGATGAGGGAGAACAAGTCTTCACAGTCAGACAGCAGCATGGGAATAGAGGGATTACAAACACATAAGGAACAAACAGTGAGGACAGCTACCAAGAAGAGCTGGTTAGCATCATGAGGACAGCTCCCCAAGCAACCCTGTCGTGCTGATGCACCAAGCCTGGGCCAAGAGACAAGGTGAGAAGGGCCATGTTATCAGGGTGTAACTCCTCACCTTCCTGCCCTTCTCGTTGTCTGGCAGGTAACAGTAGCGAGGAAAGCCTCTTGCTGTGTATGGCATCCCAGGGTTGGGGTGCTCAGGGCCCTGCAATAGATAAGACACATTTGGCACGGATACATCCATCTTCACGAGTTGGATTTAGGATGAGCAGAAGGATTTGACATAGGCACACCTCAAACCGGCACTTCCATGTAAAAGGAGCAAGGGATTGCTGATGATGAGTATGAGATTCGACTTGTTTTTATGGGACATGGGTCCTCCAAGGGCAATCTTGTACTGGGACACAAAGCATCTCCTTGAGGAGATGCTGGGATAGCCTTCAGATTGCCCCAGTTCTGGTGGGAAGAAAGCCCCAAACTAGAGTTCTTTCCATGTGGTTTGCTGACCCCCTAAGCAATCCACCCAGCTCAAACCTTTGCAGGCTCATTGCAACCACCAAATCCAGAGATGGGGGTTGTAAAACCAGACCTTGGGATCTCTCCCACCTTGTGAGCACAGGCTGGGTCTCCTCCCTGCTTCACACAGGCAGCAGTCTTTACTAGAGGTGAAAGGCTCTTGTAGACCCTGGAGCCACTCTCAAAGTAGGTAAAGACCTTCCAAGTCACCCATAGGTTGAAGAACAGCCAGTGCAGCTGCTGGCACCTTGGGCTGCTCAGTGATGGGCTCCAGCAGGTGCTGCACTGGGACCCAATGCTTCACTGGGAGGCTCTCACATAGCCCATGCCACCCAGCAGGGCCGTGCACTCACCTGAATGCCTCTGCTGATGTGATACACAATCTGGATGGTCCCACAGTCCCTGTGGCCAGGGAGGGACTGAGGGAACGTGGACACCTCCATCTTCCCTTTGGGCTGAGTACCGGTTTTCTCCCCATAGATGGTTTTACAAGAGGGACAC